GGCAGCGCGCATGCGCACCCTCCTCGCCGCGCAGAGACCCTCCGGACCAATTAGAGCCTGGGAACGAAGCCCAGCGCGGCTTGCGAACCGGAAGGGGTGGTGCCTCGGACCCATACAAAGAGACGCCGGCGACTTGAGCCAACCAGAGCAGTCTCGCCCGAGCAGGCGCGCTGGAGAGCGACGAGAGTGCGCAGGCGCGCCTCCCCGGCTCCCCCTCCCCCGCTCCGGTCTCGGTTTTCGGGGCGGCCGGCGGCCTGCGGGTCACGTGCCAGGCGCCAGCCAAAGAGAACCGAGCTCCGGGTCCTAATGGCGAATTGTTCAACCCAGCGGGGAGCAGCGTGCCACCTGCAGTAGCAGGAGCATTAGGTAGGGAGAGCGCTGAGCCTGCTCAGGAACTAGGAGCAGCAAGTCACCGCGTTGCAGCCAGAGGGCAGGGCAGGGCAGGGCAGAAAGGCGTAGGAGCGAGTTAGGGCGAGGCCAGGAAAAACAGGATTTATGTTCTGCATGACGTTGTAATGGTGGATGCATGACTGCGTTTGTCAAACCCCATGGAAACTGTATAACACAGACAGGATCCCTAATGTCAACAGTGGACTAAAGTTAACAATTTATCAGTTACCTAAAGTAACAAATGCACCACCCAATACAAAATGTTACTGATAGGGGAAACTGTGGGGAGGGGTGGAACTCTGTACTGTCCGATCAATTATTCTGTAAATCGAAAACTGCTAAAGATAATCTGTGAATTACTTTCAGATAAAGACTAAGGTTAGGGAGTAGATTCCAGAGGTATAGCGGTTTCAACACACAGAACTCGCTGACCCCGCTGGCTGCTTGGGTGGCGGGGAAAGGAGGAATGGAGGACAGTTGACAGGGCTTGAGCAATCTGGAAACTGGCTGGGCCGTTACCCAGATAAACCAACTGTAAAGAAGACCAGTGAGCACTCACACACCAGCATGAAATGGAGCCCCTGGAGCCCATGGCAAGTGTGAGTAGGGAAAGGAAAGGGCAGCAGGCGGGACACTCGTGATGAGGGCCAAGCAGAGGTAATGAAGGCCACCAAGAAAGGGAGAACTGCCTTTGAGGTTCAGGGCCAACTAACCTAGGCTTGCCCTGCCAGACACATTCAGTGTGGGAGAGTAGGAGGCTCCCGAGGGACCACCTGGCTCAGCCCTAGAATGTCAACAGGGACACCAAAGACCAGCGAGGCAGGGCAGAGCACCTGCCTCCAAGGTGGGGTCTCCCAGAAGTCCAGGGTCTCCCTCCCTGGGCCCAGAACTGCCAAAAACCATCAGGTGTGGGAGACCCGCCTCCGAAGCCCTAACGAAGCTCTTCCCTTCTTCTTGGGCTTGGCAGGGTGCTCGGGTCAAATGTCCGTGACGCTCACATTCCCCAAGACACAGAGGAGCTAGAGAGAAGCACAGACCCCCAAATGTGCGTGCACACGTGCACACACACACCGGAGCCCCCCAGGGCCACGGGGAGAAATTTATTGTGAAAGCTCGTGGGCGAGGACAGGGCAGGGCAGGCTCTAGGAGGCTGAGTCGGAGGCCTCTGAGCTGTCCTTGACATCTGTGCTCTCTGTGGTCTCGCTGACCTCGCTGAGGTCCTTGCTGTCCCCACCACTATCGTCAGCCGCCAGGCCCTTCTCCTCACGACAGACCTCTCCAGGGCCAGGAAGTGAATTGCCTTTGCTCTCCACTTTGTTCTCGATGGCACCCAGCACCACGTGCCTGCCCTTTTCCTTCAGTTCCAGGTGCCTCCTCAGCTGCCGCCAGGAACCCACGGAGAAGCAAGAGCAAAGAGACGGGCCTCAGTTAGTCCAGACAAGCGGGGGAGGGGCGTGGGGGTGGGGGATCTCAAGTCCCGGCTCTGTCCCTCTAGGCCTGTTTCCTCGCCTTTAAACCGAGGGTGGGGCAGGCGCGGTGGCTCCCGCCTATAATCCCAGCACCTGGGGAGGGAGGCCCAGGTGAGAGGATTGCCTGAGCCCAGGGGTTCAAAATCAGCCTGAGCAACTTGGTAAGACCTCACCTCTACATTAAAATCAAGAAAAATTAATCTGGGCATGGGGGTGCACACCTGTAGTTCCAGCTACTTAGAAGGCTGAGGTGGAAGGATCGCCTGAGCCCAGCAGGTCGAGGCTGTGGTGGCTGTGAACATGCCACTGCACTCCAGCCTCGGTGACAGAGTGAGATTCCGACTCAAAAAAAAGAAGAAAAAGAAAATGAGAGCGAGCACGCCTCCCTCACTTGGGCTGCTGTGCCACCACCAGACAGGGCCACGCTCCTCGAACAGCCCTGCCCCTGAGGAGCCTGGGCAGAACCCAGACTTTCTCTGCAGCCCAGTTTTGTCTTACCGCGGAGCAGGCAGGCCACCCACAGCTGTCCCCAGGTGTCCCACTTCCTCTAGAAAGCCTCCTCCCCCTGCTGCTCACAGCACACCCACAGGCTTCTGGGGAGATGGCCTCCTCCAAAGCACAGCCTGGGCCTACCTCCCCACTCGACAGTCTAGGAAACAGGTGAAGACGGGCCGGGACCCACAGCAACGCTGCCACCAGGGCTGGCGCCCAAAGTCAGGCTCGTCTCTGGCCACCGTCTCGGGCCCTGAGCGCAGCCCTCTGCCCCAGCAGGGTCCCCCGCCCTTGCCTTGCTTTCTGCGTGGCAGGGCCCGCTCGTGCTAGACTGGGGACACTTACCTCCTCGGCCATCTGGGTGAGATCGCGCTTCATCGCATACGCATCCTCCCCATCTGCGTAGTATTTGGGCTCCACCTCGCTGATCCTGGGGGCGGGTGAGAGCAAGGAAGACCCGAAGCTGGGGCAGGTGCTCCTCGGTCTCCGTGACCCCGGCTTCTGGCGCAAGGTGCCATGTTTTCTCCTGAAGGGCCCTTTCTTTTACATTTTAAAACCGGGGGGTGCCTACGGGGCCTCTTTGAAAAAATGTGTCTTAGACTCAGGGGTTACCTGAGGGGCCCTTTCTGAGAAGCCGGCCCAGCCCCAGGACGTCTTTCCCAGCAGCCTCGTTTCCAGTGTGGCCTCCGCTCTGCTCTCCCCGCACAGGCCGGCAGTCAATGGCACCCAGTGCCTTTGCCCCTCTGCCCTGCCCCGAGTCCTGCCACTGTCCCACGTCCCCAGTCTGGCTCCCACGGCTGTTTCTGTGGTTTCTTGGGAGCTCAAGCCCCGCATCCAGCCTCCTCCTTCCCTCTGGCCGCCCCATCACTGAGCACAGCTGCCTCTGCCGTCAGGCAATAGCAACCAGGGCCTGGGAAGGGGCGCTCCGGCCTCCACTCAGGAGAGTCCTCCAGGCACCGAGACTCGGTGACCGTGCCACCGGAAGGGGAGCCCAGAGGCCAGCGCCCTTCCAACAGGAGCCCTCTGCAGGCAGCCGCCCCCACCTCACTTTCAAGTGCCTTTTCCACCGCATGCCAGCTCCCTACCAGGCGCTCTCTCCACTGTGCTGGGCAAACAGCCCCTCCCCGTCCCTGAGCAGACCTGCCCCATCCATCCGCTGCCCCGGGCTCCCGGCTGCCCCACCGCCCCTGCTGGGGGCCCTTCCGTCTCCTTGCTTCTGCTTGCGCTCGGATGCTTCTAGGCACCAGGGCACCTGGGACCCTGCTCCTCAGCACCTCTCCAGGCCCCAACCTTCACGACAAAGTCCTGTGTCCCTTCCTCGCACTGCCCTGCATGGCGTCAAGCCACGGCTCCTCCACCCGGCGAGACACGCCATACCCATCTCTGTCACAACACACGTCGTGGGAGGCAGGTGCCGTCTCCCCGTGAGCTTTGCCATCAACAGCCACAGTGTGTGGAGGAGGCATCCTGGTCACGTGGGGGTCCACAGCCCGGCCCCCTCCCAGCTACCCCGCCCCCTGCCTGGAAGGCACCTCAGCCCTTCTCAGCTGCCTCGATGGACCAGACCTGGGAGCAGCCCCTGCCCGTGAGAAAAGTCTAGATGTACTTACTGAAAGTTGAGGGTGTTGGAATAGAGGTGCAGGGCGGCCCGGTTACTGCAGGGGAATAAGGCACCGCTGAGCTGCACAGACCGGGCCAGGCGGGTAGAGCACGTCCAGTCCTGCCCTCCTCCTGGCTCCTCCTTCCCACTAATCCCACTCCCCGGTACTCTCCAAAAGCCAAGGCACCCGGGGACCCCCTTCAAGACAGTATCTCTTCCTGCCCCCCCCAACTCCCCCTGCCCTCAGCCCGGCTTCCACCTCTTCCTGACATGCAGGGAGACGTATTTGGCATTGAAGTTCTCTATCATGGCTCGAGAGGCCTGGTCCATCAGCTTCTGGGCCAGGCCAAGGCGCCGGTGGGAACGCTTCACAGCCTGGTGGGAGACGGCGGGCAAGGGGTGAGGGGGTGGGACCCTGAGGGCTGCCCAACTAACGCCCACGTCCACCTCCGTCAGATCCTGGGTGGGTCTACGTACCAGTGAGGTGATATGTCCATGGGGCACGTCGTCCGGGTCCTCTTCCCTGGAGAAGGAGAAAGGAGAAACTAAAAGAAGCTACCCCCCGCCCCGTCCATGTGTAGAGCAGAAGTGCTAACTCTTCCAGACTGACCCTACGGCCTCCCAAAACCTAGGCTGGAGAAGAGCGGGGAATCTCTTGGATCAGAGCAGCCGATCCTTCCCTCTCTGCTGCCTTAAAACCTCATGCATGGCAGAAGTGGTGGCGCACGCCTGTAGTCCAAGCTACTTGGGAGACTGAGGTGGGAGGATCGCCAGAGTCCAGGAGGTAGAGGCTGCAGTGAGCTATGATCAAGCCTGTGAATAGCCACTGTTCTTCAGCCTAGGTGATTCCAGACTCTAAAAGAAACCCTGGAACAAAACAAAAAACCCACGCAACACCTACAGATATGTGAAATGCCAACAGATTACTGTTCTGTGACAAAGGCATGAGCTGGCAAGTCACGGAATGACAAGGAGGAACCTTGCATGCATGTTACTAAGTGAAAAAAGCCAGTCCGAAAAGGCTATAGACTGTATGATTCCAACTATGTGACATTCTGGAAAAGGTACAACTGTGAACACAGTAAAAAGAACACTAGTTGCCAGGGGTTGGGGGGAGGGAGGGATAAATGGGTGGAGCACAGTGAAACTATTCAGTGTGGTAACATAAAGGTGGACATGTATCATTTATCCCAACCCACAGAGTGCACAACAGGAAGAGAACCACTATGATGCCAACCCTGGGGCTTAGTTAATAATAATGTAGAGGCTGGGTGTGGTGGCTCATGCCTGTAATCCTAGCACTTTGGGAGGCCAAGGTGGAAGGACAGCTTGAGCTCAGGAGTAGACACCAGCCTGGGCAACACAGTGAGACCTCGTCGCTACCAAAAAAAACCCCCAAAAATTAGACGGGTGTGGTGGCACATGCCTGCAGTCCCAGGTACTCAGGAGGCTGAGGCGGAAGTATCGCCTGAGCCCAGGAGGTCGAGGCTGCGGTGAGCTGGGATCGCACCACTGCACTCCAGCTTGGGCTACAGAGCCCCCAACACAAATGTATAATATTGGTTCATCACCTGTAACAGGTATACCACACAAACGTGTTAATAATAGGGAAAACCGAGGGGAGGGAAGGGTGGGGCGTGCATGGGAACTCTGTCCTTTCTGCTCAATTTTTCTGTAAACTGTAAACTGTACTTTTTGAAAAAGACTGGGCTTGGTGGCTCAGCCTGTAATCCCAGCACTTTGGGAGGCCGAGGCAAGAGGATTGCCTGAGCCCGCGGGCTCGAGACCCGCCCAGGCAATTTGGCGAGACCTCATCTCTACAATAAATCAAAAATCAGCCGGGTGTGGTAGCGTGCACCTGTACTTCCGGCTACTTGGAAGGCTGAGGTGGAAGGATCGCTGGAGCCCAGCAGGTCGCGGTTGCGGTGGCCAGAAGCATGCCACTGCACTCCAGTCAACTCAAAACAAAAAACAAAAAAGTACTGAAAAAACAAAGCATATTCGTTTTTTGTAAGGCCCACAGCAGCATCCGCCAGACACGTGTGTCCTCTATCCCCCAAGTTTCTCTCTTGCTCTTTGGTTACTCACATTTTGGCCAGGACATACCCCACAATCTTCCCATTCTCATCCTCAGCAATGTAAGACAGCTGGTGACAGAGGAGAAGGGAGTCAAAAAACAACTTCATGACACTTGGTCCCATTACCCATCTATTGGTCTGTGCCAGAAGCAGAAACTGGGCTGGGGGGCGTTCTGTGACAGCTCGTGGGCTCCAGGCTAAGTAACTCGATTTCCCCCACCCACACTGTGCCCTGTCCTTGACCCAGGAGCCAGACACGAGTGGGACTCCTGCCTCCGTTCTACGAGCCCTTCAGGTACCTAGCTCCTTTTCGTGTGCTCCTCCTCCCCGCAGCTGAAAACACCCTGGATGTCGCCTGACCATAAGCCCTTGGGCTCATACGGCCTTTTCGTCAGCTTGGTTTCCCCAGCCCCAAATGCAAAAGCTGCCCACCTGGGGCCAGGAGAGGCCGTGGTAGAAGTAGTATTTCATCTGGTAGTTCTCGGGCAAGCAGAGGAGATTGCAGTGTTGCATGTTCATGAGGTCCTCCGGCTGCAGGGGAGTAGGACACAGTGACCAAGGAGGCCCCAGACAGGTGAGACCCCTGCTCCCTGTCTACTCAGCCCATTCCCCCGGGGCTGGGCAGGCGCTGCGAGGATCTGACTTTGCACAAGGCCTGGCACACAGTCGCTGTGCAAAACGCGTCTGTTTCAGGAACAAGCGTGGGGGTCCGGAGGTCCCCGGAGTCCACCCAACTGGGCCCCGACATCACGCAAGCCGGGGGCATTCGCAGCCCCAGCACTGCGCCCCGGCTCCACCGTCCTCCTCCTCGGACTGGCCGGGTTGCACGCAGGGCCACCGGGCCGGGCTCAGCCAGGGACCTCGGGAGCATGCGCAGGCAGCC